TATAAAATTTATTCATAAGGTTTTTTCGAGAGAAATAAATAATGATATTTACTTAAAATTGCGTAAAAGGGAATTCGTAATGTTCCCACGGTTAAATAGCGCGGATTTATTTTCTTTATTTGGCGAGGAAGTCAGACAAATAGCCTACTCACATTTCGTATATTTAATTGTTGTTGTTGCTGCTGTTGCTGTCGCCGTCGCTGCCGCCGCTATTTTTCTTGAAGGCGTGAGGGGAATTTCTATCGTTCCCGTTGTTGGTTTTATTTGCTTGTATTTTTACTTGTGAAGCTCGTGAACTTTTCTTCTCTTCCCTTGAAGGGATGAGCGGAATTTCTACCGTTCCCGTTGTTGGTTTTATTTGGTTTTATTTTCACTTGCGAAGCTCGTGAATTTTTTTCAGCGTGTTATATCTTGCCAATCGGTGCACTGCACATTTTGTATAATTGTTTTTATATTATTTTATTGTTTACCGATTGCAATTATTTTTGTAAATGCATTAGAACTGCGTATCGCGTGAGTCGGTTCCGTTGGGCTGCAGTTATTTTGCCCAATGGCTGGTTGAATTTGCTGACTTGTAGGGCGAAGTGGCCTGGAAGAGTGGTGATGGCCTCTTTATAGCAATGCCTAGCTAACCGCTCCCATGCGCTGTGGAGATGGGGATTACGAGCAAGGGAGAGTTGGAAGTTGGAAGACTTGCAGGCTGGTGAGCGGGAAGTTGGAGAGCTGAAGTACTAAGATAGGGAAGAGGGGAAACCGTGGCCTGAATAGTAATTGTAAAGCTGTGACTCCTTGTACTCGAACTAAAAAGGGGTTCCCAAGAAAACAAACACAAACATGATAAATTCACAAAGCGTTTATTTAAGTTATCCGATAGGGGTTAATGTTTATAAAGTTAACTTAGCATGCCGCCCGCCAATTCTATAACTAGCATGAGACACCTTCGTTTTTCCGGTCCATCCTGGTTGTGAGTAGGGTGGAATATCGAGTATGGAATGTATGGAAACAAGTTTAATATCAATGAGCTGTGTAAGTGAGGGCGCTTAAGAACGGATTGACAGTCGTCTTTGTGACAGCGGAAATCGGTCGTCCCTGATGATGACGAGTTCGTTAGCTGGAGAACTTCAGCCTAACGGCAACACTTGGGCCTCTGCTGTAGATGTGCTAGCCAGTCCCGACTCCAAGCCGTCCAGAAATGGCGTACCCTTGATTGCATGATAAGAAAGTGGGTTGCAAAGGACTTGGGCTGTGGTCGTTTTTTTCTTGGCTTTGTTTTGTTGACTTTCTTTTGACTGGTTCTAATCGGTAAAAGCTATGTTGCAGAATTTTCTGTGTCGCATCTCTGCACCTCAAGAGCTCTCCCTATATTTGGGGTGCCAACGAATCGGATAAATAACCAATGAATTTCAGCCTTTCTTAAATGAGCACACTACCACGCATTCCTGGTTTAACAGTACTTTGGTCTTGATGCCCGCCTTACCGATCAGATTTGCGGAAAGTTCATAGCTTGATGCTATTGTGCACTTTCCATCTTCTTGTTACTGGAACATCTTTGGAATGGTCGATCCAATAATTAATTGCCTGGTGCTTGGTTGCGCAAGGCTAAAATATAAAGTTTAGACCCAGTCATTGGAAGTTGTTAGACACTTCCCATGTCAGAAGAATTCTGGAATATATTTGTGCTTTTTGGAGTCCCCAGCAACGGATAGAGCCAGTGCAGCAGAAATGTATTAGTTTTTCCTTACGTGGTTTGAACTGGGACTTGCCGTCTTATCATAGACTTCTATTCTATACTTAATATGCCTACCCTCTCAAATCGTAGGTCTATGCCTGATATTATATTATTCGTACAGTAAAAGGGTATATTAGATTCTTTGAAAACTATGTAACAGGTAGAAGGAAGCGTTTACTGCTCTTTAAAGTCGATTGAGCCATGTCCATCTGTACGTCCGTCTGTCCGTCCGTCCGTCCGTCTGTCCATTCGTCCGTCCGTCTGTCCGACCGTCTGTCCGACCGTCTGTCCGACCGTCTGTCCGTCCGTCTGTTTGTCTGTCCGTATAGACGCGGAGATCTCAGGAACTATAAGAGATCCATTCGCAGGGCAAGTACAATTCAGCATTCTGCCACGCCCATTACAACGACCACAAACTGTGGCTTCCATAATTTTATAGTGTATGTCTTTGTTTGATCTTGTATAAATCTATAGATTTACCAGAGATTTTTCAAATCAGAACTTTATTTCGCTTACTATGAAGAAATGTAGATTATAAGGCCTCACATGGACAGTGACGTCACCATCAGTTAGTAAACATGCTTTTTTGACAATAGGTAGTATTTGTCTATTTCCACTAGCAAAATGAATATTTTAAAATTGGGTTAATTGTGGTATCATATATATGTCTAATCTTATTCGAGGTGAGGTGGACTCAGTTAATTTTACTAACTAACTAAATTTGTATGCTCCTTTTAGGCCTAAACGTAATTTTATACCTATTAATAAGGGCCCCGCGCGTAACAAGGACGTGCTTGGTGTCGTTAAGCCATTTGATAATAAGAGTGCTATTACGTTCAGCAAAAATTAACGTGAACAATTCATGTTCGTAAGCCCGTATGAACGCTGTTATCTCAGGTACTATAAGAGATACAAAGTTGAGATTAAGCATGCAGATTCTTGAGGTCCCTACGCAGTGCACGTGTCTCTTAACATTCTGCTGCGCCTATTCGAACGACTTTGAATCACGAAAAACTAAAATTGAAGAATTCTATGGAACTATTATGGCTAGAAAGTTAGATAAGCCAAGTATAATTATGAAATGGCGGCGTATCTTAACGTATCACTACCATTGTAAGGCACACCATGCGCGAAAAACTTTCAGCATTTTTTGTAGAATCATTAAGATTTCAATAAACATTATTGATAGAAAGTCGGGATTAACCATGCAGTTTTTAATAATGCCACTGAAGCGTATTACGCCCAATAAAACGGCGAAAACCAAAGAAAACAAAACTGCCACCCCAGCTCGAGATAAATTGAAAGATCTCAGGAGCTAGAAAAGTTTTATTAAGCGTGTCATTGATGCCACCGCATCAAGGCGGTACCGTTATCTAACAACGACCGCTTACGGCCCTCAACAGTGTAATACGGTAGCCGCATTCTCTAAGAAAGCCGATATATTGCCAGTTATGCGTGCTATAAAACAGTAAGCATGTTGTTTTCATGCTAAGCATGTCGTTTTCAATGAAAACAAAGCGCGGAAAACAAAAGCGCTAAAATCTCTATTACTGCCACTGCAGTTTAAACTATCAGAGCTACAAAGTTAGGCTTAGGCGTACAACATATTAAGAGATGCCACTGAAGCTCAGCGTGTTTTTTCATATTGCCACGCCCACTTTAAAGCCACTTTAAAACCCTGGATAACTGTGGCGCTTAAATTATTAAAATGTATATTTTCCGCTGACCTTGTATATTATCTATTGATTTGCCACACATGGCCAGTGACGTCACCATCAGTGCTAAAAATGTGTAATTAGGCATGTAGGTTTTTTACCCGTTACCCGTAAAGTAAAAGTGTATATTAGATTCGATGAAAAGTATAACAGGTAGAAGGAAGTGTTTCCGACTCTACAAAGTATATATATTTTTTGTCAGTATCAATAGCGAAGTCGATTATGCGATGTCCGTCTGTCCGTCCGTTCGCCCGTATGTCCGCATGAACGCTGAGATCTCTATATAACACACAGAGTTGAGATTTAGCAGGGAAATTGCAGTGCAAGTTCAAAAAGCTGGGAAGTTGGGATTGAGTAAGTATAATCTTGAGATGCCAGCGCATCTTATGGTGGTACCATATACGGCCACGCTCTCTCTTACGCCCACCAAGCTCGAAAGGATTTCGCTATTTGTAGAAAAGCTTATATCTCTGTAACTATAAGTGATAGAGACAATCTGTCCATGCCCATTCCAAGGTTTTAATAACGCGGAACCAAAGAACTATAAAAGATAGAAAGTTAGGCTTAAGAATTTTTATTTACGAGACGCCACTACATCTCGACGTGAGTTCCATCCATAATATTATAATGTATGTCATCATTTGACCTTGTATAAGATATATTTTTCAATATGTATGGATTTACCAAAAAATTTTCAAGTTGGAAAAAAATTTCGCTATTTATGAAGAAACTTAGTTTATAAGGCCATTGACGTCACAATGATTTAGTGAACATGCTTTTTTGACAGAAGGTGGCGCTTTGTCCATTTCAATTAGCAAAATAAATATTTTACAATTGTGTAAAACAGTAACGGGTATAATATAGTCGCAGCACTCGACTATGGTGTTTCTTCTTGTTTTATATAATCCGGTGCAAAATTAAATTTTCAGTCACCTTAAGCAGTTTAAAAATAGTCTTATGCAAAACGAAAGTACTAAGCATCGTTTCATTTATAAAAACTTTAAGCGACTGTTTTTTGTTGGGGTGTATTATTTTCAATTATTGGTTTTTTGTTATATTGGTACACTTGTCACAAAAAATTGTACCATGTTTCACGTGTACAGTATTTTGTGTTTGGCGTGAGAGAGGTGTATTGGCTCTAGTTGTTTTGCATACTGGGCGATTTTTTGTTTGGCTTTTCCAGTTTTAACCAATAAAGACCAAACTGGGGACGAATAATAGGTTTTTGGTTATGATATCGAAACCAAAGCCCAGTCGTCTCAATGGAACAGCGCAGGTGAGCTAACATTCAACAGTTATGCCTCCTATAACAAAAAAAAGAAAAGAAATGAATCGTCTAAAATACACTTTCCGAGAACACTCCTATTAATTTTTATCACACCTCGTAAAGTAACTTTTTTTTAGATATGAATTTAGTTTCGATTTTCGTTTTTCTTCGGTGTATTTTACATCGATTTTCTTCTACCAGTTACACACTTTTAATCGAATGAAATGTAACCTTTTATTGAAGACATGACGGTATAATTTTTTGATTATATTTATTTTTCACATTACAGAATGCTGAATCCAAAGTGCCAAATGTTGTTTTTCTCCGCGACATATGATAAGGAAGTAATGGACTTTGCTCGTCTGATTGTTGCAGATCCTACTGTAATAAGGTATTTTTACATCGCACTATTTAGAATTATATTTTAAACGAGAAAGAAGAACCGATATTCAGTTTTGAATAAAGCCACGATTTATGTAAACTGATCGACTGTTCAACATAACATTGATATTAACATTTTTATCTAAATATTTTTAAGTACATTTTTGAAACATCTTCACGGAAAAAAAACAAAATCGATTTTTTTTTCACAAGGTGAGAACCTGCCCTAAAGAGATACAAAGTTGGAGATAGAAGTTGGGATTAAGCGTGCAGATTGATGATGATGTCAACAAGGCGTATTATTTTTTCCGTAGCATACATATTCAAGAGATGTCATCGCAGCTCAATGTGTAGATTATAAGGCCCCGCTTGGGCAGTGACGACACCTTCTGTTTTTATACCCGTTACTAGTAAAGTAAAAGGGTATATTAGATTCGTTGAAAAGTATTCAACAGGTAGAAGGAAGATTTTTCGACCCTGCATCCTGCCATGCCCATTCTAACGCCCACAAATCGCGAAAAACTAAAATAGCTAAAATCTCAGGAACTATTATAGCTGGAAAGCTTCAGTATGTATAATCTTTAGATGCCAGCGCATCTTATAGTGGTACTATGATCCGGCCACACCCACCCTTACGCCCAAAAGGCTTAAAAGACGGTTTTCGCATTTTCTAAAAATGCTGATATCTCGGTAACTATGAGAGATAGAAAGTTCGGATTAACCATGTGGGTTTTTATGATGCCCCAAATGCATTGTTTTTCCCATCTAGCGACGCCCACCCTAACGCCCACCCTAACGCCCACGAAACCCAAAAAAAACAAAAAAAATCTCGGGAACTATAAGAGCTACAAAATTTTGCTTAAGAATACGTATTTAAGAGATGCTTCTGCAACTTTCCACGAAGTTGCATCCGGCACGCCCATTCTTACGCCCACAAACCGGAACAAAAATCTCCGGACCTATAAAAGCTAGAAAGTAAGGCCTAAGAACACGTATTTTAGAGATGCCACTGCAACTTTTCACGAGTTTTCATCCGGCCACACCCACTCTAACGGCCGCGAATAACTGTGGCGTCCATAATATTAATATAAATGCCTTCGTTTGACCTTGTATGACTTTTTTCTGTCAATATCTATCGATTTACCAAAGCTTTTTCAAATTGCAACATTATTGCGCTATTTATGAAAATATTATGGCTATAAGGCCTCACTTGGCTTGTGACGTCACTATCAGTTACTCAACATGCTTACTCTGACAATAGGTGGCGCTTTGTGAATTTCCACTAGCAAAATGAATATTTTAAAATTGTATAAAGCAGTAACGGGTGTCTTATATTCGCGGCACTCGACTACAGCGTTAACTCTTGTTAAACATACTTTTTCTGACAAAAGCTGTCGCTTTATCAATATCGGCTGGCTTATAGTCGCGGCACCCGACTATAGCGTTAACTCTTGTTTTATTTTGTATACTTTAAAATCGTCATGATTAGCTTTACCTGCTATCCATTTCCATAGTTCATAATTCATTAATTCCTGTCTTGCTTGGCAATATAATCCTGATAAATCTATGGTAATCTTACATTCTACACCGGTTTTTAATGATTTATTTAAAAACTTAGTTTTTATGCTAAGCAAATTACATAAATCAGTTACGTTATTCGTAACCATTTCATCTCTCTAAAAGAGGTATTCGTAGCCTATGTTATCAATCATTTCTTATTTAGATAAAATAATACGCTGTAGTATAAACATTACTCTGCAAAAATGAATGAAAGTTATATTTATAATTATAAAATTGTTTATATATTTCTATTTTTGACTATGGTATGTTTTCCTTAACCACTTTTTGTTATATCTAGTTTTAAGAAATTTTCGTACCCGATGATTATTTTCATAGAAACTGGTTCTACATGATATTTATACCCGTTGTTAATCGTAGAGTAAAAGGGTATATTGAAATTGTAGAAGAGTATGTAACAGGTAGAATAAAGCGTTTCCTATAATGTATATATATACTTGATCATGATCAATAGCAGAGTAACTCTGAAATCTAAGGAACTATAAGAGATACAAAGTTGAGATTATTTCATCATCCTACCACGCAACACTTTAACTACCATAAATCACAAAAAACTAAAATCGCTGAAATCTCAGAAACTATTAGAGCTAGAAAGTTTATATTAAGTATGTATGCATAATCTTGAGATGCCAGTGCATCCTACGGTGAAGCCACGCGCATAAAGCTTGAAAGATGATTCTTGCTTTTTGTCTCATTTCTCATTTTGTCTGGATCTTAGTAACTATAAGTGATAGATTAAGGATGTAGTTTCTAATAGTGCCCCCAATGCGTATTATTTTTTCACCATCTGGCCATGCCCACTCTAACGCGCAAAAATGCGGAAAACCAAAAACGCTTTAATCTCTGTAACTAAGTGCTAGGGAGTTCGAACAGACATTCATATTCTTGAGATTATACCGCAGCTTCATGTGCTATTTTTATGCAGCCCATTGTAATATCCACAAACCGCCGAACACTTTGGCATCCATAATATAATATTAAAATTTATGTCTTTCTTTGACTTTGTATAATAATATTTCTATAAAATAGAATCTTCCGATTTATCAAAAAATTATGAATTCAGAACATTAATTCGCTATTTATTAAGAAATGTAGGTTATAAGGCCTCACATGGACAGTGACGTCATCATCACTTAGTAAACATGCTTTTTCTGACAAAAAGTGGCGCTTTGTGAGTTTCCACTAGCAAAATGAATTTTTTTAAATTGTATTAATCGGGTATTTAGTATACCGTTGCGTTGTGTTTTTCATTTATGTTTCATATGTATTTTTAGCCCTATTTCTTGTGTGTTTTTTTTTCAAATTTATAAACCTTACTGTGCTTAATATTATTATAAGGAATATGCGTTTTAGTTCGTTTGGAAATATTCACGGTTTTGGTGGAAATGGCTGGATGAATTTACTGACTTGTAGGGCGAAGTGGCCTGGAAGCGTGGTTGTAGATGGGCTCTTCATAGCAATGCCTAGCTAACCGCTCCGTGCGCTGTGTAGATAGGGATAACGTTCAACGGAGAGTTGGAAATTGGAAGACTTGCAGGCTGGTGGGCGGGAAGTTGGGAGCTGGAATACTAAGAGCGGGAAGAGGAGTGGACGGCCTGGAATTCGGTATTTTTTACCGTGGCCTGAACAGTAATTGTAAAGCTGTGTCCCCTTGTATTACTAGAACTAAAAAGGGGCCATTGTAAGAGGTGTTCCCAAGAAAAAAAACACAAACATGATAAATTCCCAAAGCGTATATTTAAGTAGCCCGATAGTGGTTAATGTATATAAAGTAAACTTAGCATGCCGCCCGCCAATTCTAGATCTAGTATGAGACATCTTCGGCTGTCCGGTCCATCCTGGTCGTGAGTGAGATACAATATGGAGCATGGGAAAGTGAAAGAAGACGTGTGCACCAAAAACAAGTTTTATATCGATTAGCGGTGTAAGTTAGGGCGCTTAAGAACGGATTGACAGTCACCATTGTGACGGCGGAAATCGGTCGTCCTAGATGATGCTACCCAGTCCCGACTCCAAGCCTTCCACAAATGGCGTGCCCTTGATTGCATGTTTTGTTGAGTTTCCTTAGACTGGTTCAAATCCCAAAAAGCTATGTTGCAGAAATCTCCATGTCTATCACGTGCGCAAGGCGGAAATCTTGGAATATGTAGTTTAGACCCAGTCATTGGAAGTTGGGTCGATGCCCTTGCACATCACGTAAATATTTTCTTCAAATCGAGTATTCGGAAATGGGTGCAGAGGTTTCCTGACGCGCTTCATCTTTGCTACTTCGTCCAGATAGCTTTCAACCATTGCTCGCCCGGCAGCACGATCCTGGTGTCCGGCGACATGATTGCGCCAATATATCCACTCCCAATATAAGATCGACTTGCTTCGAACGGGAGAAGTTTGGATCCGCCAGTGGGAGCCCTCTTATATGGTCCCAAAGCAGTGGCATGAAGCCCAGACTCGGAAAACATGAAGTAACCGAATTGAGAACATATGCCGAATCAACTTATTCTAAAAAACAGGACCCATCCCAAAAATAGATTCTAGGCTGCTAGACCGTTTTAGATGCAGGGACTGTACTACTCGTTCCGATGTACGTTAATACAAGCAGTGGCGAGAAGAACATTTTTCATATGGGTCTCGGAAATTGGTTATGAGCCAGCACTTGGAAAAGCAACTGATGGTGCTGTCTTCAAACTTGAAAGCCTTCATTGCTAGTGCAACGCGGAAGAGCATGCGACTTACTCAATTAATTGATATTATACATTTTTAAGCCCTGCTTACTATATCCTTCCTCTGGTGGCAGTCTGGGGCCAAAAAGGTTGTGCAACCACGCAGGATATGGTCGCCTTCACAGTAATAGCAGGCATGGGTAGATCGTCGACTTTATTTACAGATAAGGATGCATAGAGGATCTATCCGGTATTGGGTTTCTGTTTTATTATACCCGTTACTCGTATGGTAAAGGGTATACTAGATTCTTTGAAAAGTATATAACAGGTAGAAGGAAGCGTTTCCGACCCTATATAGTATATATATTCTAGATCAGGATGAATAGTGAAGCCGATTGAGCCATGCTCGTCCGTCTGTCCGTCTGTCCGTATGAATGCTGAGATCTCAGGAACTATAAGGGATATAAAATTGAGATTAGCCGTGAAGATTCTTGAGGACCCTGCGCAGCGCAAATCACAGAAAACTAAAGTCGCTAAAATCTCTGAAACTATTAGAGTTAGAAAAATGAAATTCACAATATATAATCTTTAGATGCCATCGCATCTTATAATGGCCACGATCACCCATACGCCCACAAGCCTCAAAAGACGGTTTTCGCATTTTCTAGAAAAGCTGATATTTCGTTAACCATAAGAGATAGAAAGTTCGAATTAACCATGTAGGTTTTTATGATGCTTCAAATGCAAATTAATTGTATCCAACATAGCTACGCCTACCCTAACGCCCACAAAACATGGAAAACCAAAAATTCAAAAGTCTCGGAAACTATAAGAGCTACAAAGTTTTGCTTAAGAATACGTA